TCAGCAGCTGAAGAAGCTTCTTGCTACTCAGAGAAAGAGCTGCTCTCTTGTTAGCAATCATAACAAACATTGTAGTAGAGATTGAACCCCTCTAGTCCAACCTCCGTGGTTCAGCGTGATTTTAGTTAGTCAGATATCCACTTACCATGGTTGTGGCAAAGTTTCCTGTGGTCCCTTAAAGTTTGTTTACAGCCACCAGTCCTGGCTCCATGTTCTGTGCTGTTACTTAGCTCTCATTTATCCCAAATGACTTCTAAGAGCCCATGAAGAAGTAGAAGTATTGGTAATGCTGTTAGACAATATTGACCTCTCATTGTTTGGCAAATTCTCTGTTTTGGCATTGATCAGGTCCCAAGAGTGTCGGATTAGAGAGGATTCAACCTGTAGGTATTCCTCACTGCTACAATCCTCAAATACCCAATACTGTGGTAAATTGCCCCTTGGGTAATAGGCTTCTCTTATAATTGCAGAAATGAAGTGTCCAGCAGAAATATTTGGAACCACAGTTGTCCTAATATGGGGTCATCTATTTCCCCCATCTCATTTAGATGTGGAAGCTTTTGTTTGTTTATTTATTTGTTTGTATATTTTTCTTTTTAAAAAAGTCTCTGGAGGAGCAAAGACATTGTACAGGCAGTCCCCGAGTTACGTGGATCCGACTTACGTCGGATCTGCAGTTACGAACGGGGCACTTCCTCTCCCTGGTCTCCAGCAGACCAGGGAGAGGAAGCAAAGCGGCGGAACGCGCGGCCAGCTGACAGCCCAGACGCGTCTGGGCTGTCAGCTGGCCGCGCGTTCCGCCGCTTTGCTTCCTCTCCCTGGTCTGCTGGAGACCAGGGAGAGGAAGTGCCCCGTTCGTAACTGCAGATCCGACGTAAGTCGGATCCGCGTAACTTGGGGACTGCCTGTATCAGAGGGGTAGCCGTGTTAGTCTGAATCTGCAAAAGCGACGAGGAGTCCTGTGGCACCTTATAGACTAACTGAAGTGTAGGAGCATAAGCTTTCGTGGGCAAAGACCCACTTCGTCAGATGCATGTAGTAGAAATTTCCAGAGGCAGGAATACATATGCAGGCCAGGATCAGGCTGGAGATGACGAGGTGGATCCAATCAGGGAGGATGAGGCCCACTTCTAGTAGCTGATCTGGAGGTGTGAATTCCAAGAGAGGAG